GTGGCGTATATTCATTCTGAAGGAATATACTCATCCAGTCTCTTACAGAAACCATTTTTATTGTTCCTAATTTCCTTGCACTGTTGGTAGCAGTAGTCTGCTGTTTCATCTGTTTCCTCTGTGATGCACAGAGCTACAAAAATTTTAATCTATATTTAGGCTGAAACAAAAAAGGGGAAATTAGAAAAGTGGGTTTTTTTGCTTGTTTTGCACATTGTAGTATTTCCAACACTGGTAAGTTTTGGAGGTGGGAAGAGTGTTCACCCTACATTTGCAAATGTTGGATAACCTTATGGATAAACCTTAAGGCAACTTTAAGAAGGCAGATTAAAGGATGCTAAAAATAAGCACTTAAAAGGATTGCAATTGCTAAATACCATTTTGATATTTACCCTCTTTCCATCAAAGAATTGTAGAAAGAAACAAATTAACTGGAATCCATTTTAGTTTGGGGGTTTAATTAAGGTCAGTATATTCACAGGCTTATGTAGATTAATAAAACATACCAGTAGTCCGATTATGTCATTTTGGTGTTTACTTATCATAAACAGCAGAATGACTGTTAATTCGTTCAGATAGAAGACTTGTCAACTTTGTTATTCCTTGCTACATCTGACAGTTTGTATATTATTCTCTGACAGACACATTTGAAGATGATAATTGTTTCACCTCTGGAAAGGATGACCTTGATTTTGCTGGGTAAAGAAACAGTCTTGTTTTTTAAAAAACTATTTTCTCAGCATTTCCCAAAATGTTTTCCTCAGAACAGAATACAGGACTCTGATGTGTAGTAGAAATTTATTGAAATAAGCTTGGGAAATGGATATAGTACTTTCATTTTAGACCTTTATAACACATGTTAGTATATTAAATTGAGGTTCTAGGCTGTCTGTAACTTTGTTAATAGCCTAGTATTAGGCTAATCACCAAAAAACACTTTAGAAAACAATGTTCTCTACTACACGTTGTTTTTCTTCAGCAACATGAAAAAGAAAAAAAAAGGTGCTAAGGGAGACCCAGAAGATGAAGATTCAGAAGGCAGTGATGATGACCTTGATAACTTGGATGATGATGAAGTTTCTTTAGGAAGTATGAATGAAGAATTTACTGAAATTGATGAAGATGGAGGAACATTCATGGACGTGTTGGATGATGAAAGGGAAGGCATTCCAAGTAAGCATTTTTAAAATACAAGGCAAAAAGTGTATTTTCCTTTTTTCCTCAGTGTAGGCTAGTTTTCCTGTTGAAGCATTTCTTAAGTATTACTTTATATTCAAATTAATAATCAGGTTGGCTAGAAATTTAAATAGGACCTTTTCCCCCCACTTATTTGGAACTGAAAGAGGTTGATTTTTGAGCTTCTATTTTAATCAACAGTTGGGCTCTTTGCACAATACCTGTTGACTGTTAAGTTACCCTTTTTTTGTTGTTGTTAGAATAGTAATTATTTCTCAAAGTTAATCAAAATATTCATCATTTATCTTAGCCCTATAGCAGTTCTGTTGTTTTTAAATTGCTTAATAGCATGTTTTTGTTTTTGTTTGGCAGGGGAAATAGAACTTGATGATGAAGTCAGCTCTAAAATCGGGACAAAGAGAAGCAAGAGAAAAGGCGCAAATGATTTTGACTTTGCTGGATCATTTCAAGGTAAGAAAATGTCTTTTAAACCTAAGCAGTGGCTGTGTAAAAGTTACTAATTATCATTTTGGGAAATTTTCTAAATTGGTTAGAATAATTTCATTTTTACTTTTATAATGAATAACAACAGTTTCTTCTATTTTTAATATGTGAAAGTTGTTTCCCACATTATTTTTTCCTCATAACTTCCTTTCTCTCATTTAACTATCTCTAGATCATCTTTAAAGTATTGTAAGAGATTATCCTTTTAATGTTAACACTTGTAAGATGCTAATAAAAGAAAAAGGTACTATATCAGGTGATATTTTTAACTTTTTTGATAAAAATATAGAAAGCATTATAGTATTTTATTCCTGAAACCTGTGATAAATTCACAGGCTTGCTTTTTTTTCATGCTTTGAAAGTCTCTCGTTTATACCTGCAAAACTTACAAGCTCTTTCAAATACGATAGTCCTCTTAGATGATTTACCTGATACATAACTTATAACACGTTATCTTTCAGATTCTGTCTTCCACTGAGTGATGTACGGTCACACTTTAATAATAGCATATTCTCAAATATAAGATAGTTTTCCCAAAAAGAAATGTCGCTTTATTCTTAAGTCCTCCTGAGCCTGTCATATTAAAAGATGCTGTTTCGGTTTCAGAAGACAGTAGCCTGAAAGGTGTCAGGTCTCAGCTGACAGTAGTTTGGGATGCAGATTAAAGGATACCTGACAGAACTGATTAAAACAAAAGGAGGCCACGGAATTTCGAACACTGATAAGTTTTGGAGGTGGGAAGAGTGTTCACCCTACATTTGCAAATGTTGGATAGCCTTATGGATAAACCTTAAGGCAACTTTAAGAAGGCAGTAACCGTGCTTACTAGTTAATGTTACAGTTATATACCTATAAGATGAATGAAAACTGAAAAAAAACTTTTCCAGGTGCTATACAAATGGGAATTTTAGCTTAAGAGAAAATATTCCATAATAGCATCATATGCAGTTCCTGAATAATATACACAAAATTTAAAATGAAAGGCTCTAGAAACTATTTATCAAAAGTGGCTCTGGTATCCATGCAAAGGCTTTACATGATTGTTCGTAGCAGCAGTTATTAATAGCCAAAAAGTGGGAACAGCCCAAAAATCAGACGTTCACTGATGGATAATGGAATATTATTTAGCAATAAAATGGAATGAGATTCTGATACATGCTGTAAGATGGATGAGCTTCAGAAATGTTATGCTAAGTGAAAGAAGCCAGATACAGAAGACCACATATCATATGATCCTGCTTACATGAACTAGCCAGAAAAGGCAAAGCCCTCTTGGGGCGAGGGCACATGACTACAGATGGGCACCAGGGGTCTTTTGGAGTTGATGGAAATGTTCTAAAATTGCAATGTGATGATAGTTGAACAACTAAGTTTACTAAAACATACTGAATTATACCCTTAAAAACATCTGAATTTTATGATGAATTTTACTCCCTACTAAAGATGTTTTTAAAAAATGGCCCTAGGAGATGCAAAGAATTTGAATAACACTGTTCCAGGAAAAGTGAAAATGGATAAAAGTAGTATTTTTAGTTAATATATTTTTAGATAATGTGATTTTAAATGTGTGAATTAAAATATAATAAATACTAAAAATAGATGTTTTAGTTTCTTTTGAAATGTTTATATGTTCAGAATTACAGGTTCTGGAGAACCACTTTGAGAAGTATAAAACAAAATTTCATTTATAACATAATAAACATACTTTCCATCAATTTCTTCACAGTTAGACCAAAGAATAAAACCTCTAACTTAAATAGAATATAGATTGCCTTAAGGATTCCAAAATTCAACCATGGTCGACTTTGTAGTCAGTCTTGCCTGATACTGTGGAAAACGGTTAAACCTTGATCAGTGGCCAAATCTGAAAGTTAGGAAGACACTGGTGTCATCTCGACAATTTTATTAGGGTACTAACTCTTAAATAAATTCTATTTGTCTTTAAATGCCAGCTACTTAATGGTGCTAGAAGATAATTATAATTCTGTATTTTAACCCAAATGCAACCTTTTTGTAACAAAACCATGTTGAAAGATTGTTGAATTACTGTTGTACACCTGAAACTAACATTGTGTGTCAACTATACTCTGATTAAAAAAAAAGTGTATTTTTCCAAAATCATTGGAAATGATTACAATTTAATAATCTAGGCTTATACTTTTTAGGACCGAGAAAAAAAAAGAAAGGAAATTTCAGTGACTCCAACCTATTTGTATCTGCTGAGGAGGTAAGACTAAAAAACTGCTTTAAGAAGTTACTTATTCCACATTATTTTGAGTTTTCTAATAAATGTATCTCTGTTTAAGTTTGGCCACCTATTAGATGAAAATATGGGATCCAAGTTTGATAACATTGGCACGAACGCCATGGCTAACAAAGATAATGCAAGTAAGTAACTTGAATTTTTTTTTAAGATTTATTTATTTATTGGGGGGGGTGGCACAGAGGGAGAGAGAATCTCCAACAGATTCCCTGCTGAGCACAGAGCCAGGGGCAGGGCTCCATCCCACAATCTTGGGGTCATGACCTGAACTTAAATCAAGAGTCAGAAAGAACCGACTGAGCCACCCAGGCACCCCAAGTAACTTGAATTTTTCAGAGGTTTTTAAATGGCCTTAACTTAGAACTTCTGAAGATGTAAATATTTTTTGGAGGACCATTTTAGTAAGGATGAATAAAATGGTTCCTTATAACCTGGAAGGAATGGCTTTTTCATCTGTTTTGGGAGCATGTAGAGGATTAAAAAGCATTTAGACTACAGCAATAAAGACTGCAGTCTTTATATTAAACAGTTACTTTAGTTTTTTTAGGGAGGCAGGCTGTTTTTATATAATGTGAGTTTGTAAGTACTTTATAGACATTTTAATTCTGATATTGATAGTTACTGGCTTCTGTTCTTTTGCCAGTGAAAGTGTTCAGGGGAAATAAAATCTTCAGAGCATTTGTTCCTTTCTTCTCCTAGTCTTTTATTTGTTAAACAGTAGTCTTTAATAATAAATGCCAAAGGAAAGCAACAAACAAAAGCAGGGGATTTGCACAGGGGATGGGAAATGACTGTGAGCCATGGCAGACCAGAAGTTCCTGTTTTGTTCTGTGGGGCCAGGAGTCTGCAGTGTGATGTGCTCATCTTTCTTCTCCCCCACAAAGGTCTCAAACAGCTTAGATGGGAGGCTGAACGTGATGACTGGCTACACAACAGAGATGTGAAAAGTATCATCAAGAAAAAGAAAAATTTCAAAAAGAGGCCAAAAACCACTCAAAAAATTAAAAAGCAAAGAAAAGGAGTTTTCTAAATAAATTATAAATTAAATTGTACTTACTCCTAATTTTTGCTATTCAACCATTTTTCTTGATCTTGCTGTCTGACTCCATACATTCCAGACTGTTCAATGGATTTGTAATAAACTATAAATAAATATAGCTGTCATTTATAAAATCATGTAAAAGTGTTAAAATTAAACTATATTGAGAGAAATCAAACCTCTTTTCCTTATTTCTACATGGTAAAATGAAAAAGATAATAGATACATATTTCATGTATAAGCTCTCTGGCATCTGTACTAATCATTGTAATGAGCACTATTAAGCATTACTTTATACCAGATTATTGTACTAAGTGATTAATAATGTCATCTTTTTTAATCATTACAACTCATAAGGGGAGCATTATTACCGCTACTGGACAGAGAAAGAAACCGCTCCAAGAGATTAGCAAACCAGAGGTCACAAAGTTTTAAGCTGTGGTTTGTCACCACCACCTCAGATGTTTCATTCCAAAGTTTTTAACCACTGGTAACTACTCATCTCCAAAATAGAATTTTCGCCACCCTGTGTTCTCAGAAAGAGCTAAAATAGGGATAAACAGTAATTTTTCTCGGAAATTGACATCACAAAGTAAAAAGTCCTTTAACCCTTAATTGGTCATAAATTACTTATTTTAAACTTACTTTATACTTTTAAGGAAAAAAACCTACCTTCCAAGATGAAGGGAAATTTCTTGCTCATTATTTGCCTGAAATCTGATGAAAAAAAGAAGTCTTAAAATTAGACATGACTAGACATTCATTGTATTAAAACATGGAGCCATAATTTAGTGCTAGCTTTAGGGTCTATGAGCTAGGAATCCTACAGATGAGAAATGTGTGTTAAGGTCCTTCTGGTAATCAGGAGCTCTCTCCTGCACAGTGTGTAAGTTGCACTTGCCTTGCCTGTTGCCCCCCATAGTTACTTTGGAGTTCTTAAAATTTGGCCTGTATATATGATGTAATTTATTGAGAAAAGTAAGTTTTCAGTGTTAATAGGTAACTCCCTTATGTAACTATGAAGTTTGAGATCAACTTCAAAAACCAGGTAGAGTCTTACTTCTAATTCCGTAGCAAGGTAAAATGGAATCCGTAAAAACAAGTTTTACAGATCCCATTTTACCTTGTTACGGAATTAGAAACTTGAATTTGCTTTTATATACTGTTTGGATGTTTTCTTTTATACCCTTACACTTCAGAAGTGACTTTGTGAGCATCCAGTAGCATCCTGGGGCACAGTGTTCCAGTGAAAAACCTTAAGAGGATAAATGACAAGTCTCAGAGATGGCCACCACCCCCAGGACTACTATTACCAGCTCCAGGGAAAGAGAAAACAGCCCTTCCTCATTTTAAAAGTTGAGGGCTCTAATATAAGATTTCCCTCCAGAATGTGTCACAGCACTCTCAGTGACAGGGGCATGGGAAAGGTTTTAAGTGCTCAGTTACTGATAACAGAGGAGGAACTCTGATAGCCTTTGAAACTGGTTACTTGACAACTCACTCTGCCACCACTACTTAGTCTACCAAACAATGAGGTATAAGCAGCAGGCTGAATTTCTTTACCTGTGTTCCCAAATTAAGCCAGACCAGATACTTGCTCTATGCCCCAGATGAGTAAAATCCACTGAAGTGTGAAACATTTTCCCTAGTCTACAAATAACATTATTTAGGGAGAAGAGTCATTAAGTCCACAATAATTAACACCAAGTTTCTTCTTGTGTCCATAAAAATGCCTGATATATATATATTATTAACATATAATGTATTATTTGTTTCAGGCGTACAGGTCTGTGATTCATCAGTCTTACACAATACACAGCGCTCACCACAACACATACCCTCCCCAATGTCCATCACACAGCCACCCCATCCCCGACTCCCCTCCCCTCCAGCAACCCAAAATGCCTAATATATTGAAGAAGCAATTTCTCTAAAAATGCTGTTTAGTAACTCAATGCATTAGCAAACGGCACACCCCTCTAGAAAACATTAACTTCTGAATTAGGATTACCTTGGCTTGTGTTCATCTTATTAAACAAAAAATAAGCTCCAAAAACGCCCAAGAGTTCAACTACTAAAACTCCTTTAAAGATCTTCTTTGCCACTGGTTCCATAGTGCGGGCCATCCTAAGTTCAACAATAACAAACACATGTAAACCTGAATGAGCAGACACAAACTTAATACCACTTCCACAAAAAAAAACTCCCAATTCATTCTCACAGTCGGAATGATATAGGGATAAAACCCTGAAGTTACTGTATGCTTATTTGCATTTGATATGTCCCACATTCCTAGTTTTCAATCTCTACCCCACACAATGAACTAAAGACACCACTGGATAAAGCACAAAATGGAGATGAAACTGAAAAAAAGCCCTGTAAAAAAGAACAATTTATGGAATTGAGATTTTTTAATTGCCTAAGAATATAGAATATTGATAGGGTAAATCATTTTTTTTTTTAGCCAAACTAGGAATTAAGATATGATCTAACAGTCACCATATGTGAAAGCTCTTTGCAAGTACCTACAAAGGTAAGGTTATTTTATAAGTGGTTGTATATGTTCCATAGCTGGAGGTTTTCATTTATTTATACAACATACATTGAACTATGTTCCACAGCCCAAGCATTTTATACAAAGTTGAGCAACAAACCAACTTGTTCCTGAGGAGCTGCTATTCTAACAGTAGTTTCAAACTACTTACATCACCCAAAAGACTTGTTAAAAATGCACATTCCTGGACCTCAACCTGCAGTTCCCTAGTCCTGTAGTTCCCCTAGATTCTGATTCAGCATATCTAGGGTTAGCATCCCAGTAATCTGCACATTTGCAAGCAACTCCAAATGGCTTCTATACGAGAGGCCCTGGACCACATTAGGAGAAAAACTGACCACCATCACCCAGTAAGTGGAAAACTAGACTTTAGATCTTAATTCTCTTCCTTTAACTAAAACAAAAGCTAATCAAAAAAAAAAAAAGGGTTTGGGTCTTCATTCTCTTTCTCCCAACGTAAAAGCTAAACAAGGGAAAGGGCTATATAATAAGCTAAAAAAAAAAAAAATAGTATATATGACTCTTACTGAATATATGAAATGTAAATTCAAGTTTTTCTCTGCCTCCCTATAACCCCAACAGGAGAAACCAGTCCTTCTTAATCTCAGGATTTTGATACTGTCCAATGTATGCTCTTTGTCGTACTGTTCTCTGCCTCTTTGCAGAGAGGGTAAGATCTATAATACTCTACAATCCCAGCTCTCTGCTCACCGCCATTCCCTCTTGACTCCTTTTCACAATGCCTGAGAGTGGGGTAATTAAATACTTTTGTAGGATTATCCTATTAATCTCTTTACCAGGCGTCCCTTCCCTCCAAAATTCCCTTCCCTCGTTTTGATAATGCGATCACCCTGGGGACTAAAAGATTAAAACTTTATTATTATCTAAAAAAAAAAAAATGAAGCAGAGGAAGTTAAGAACCTAAGTATAACCAACAGGCAGTTGAGTGGGTGGGAATGGAGAACTGTTTTGCCGTTTACAATGCTGTAAGTAAGTCACGATCAGTACTGGGACCTCTCGGGGTAATTTTTAATGTGCAATGGGTGAAAAAATGTTTTTAATTAAAAATAAAGCCTGCCTGCAGCAATATCCGCAGTAAAAGGAATCCAAGTAAAATTTGGTTTTGTTTTGTTGGGAGAAGGTGAGGTTAAGAGTTCAAAAAATAAAGTACAAATAACACTGCTACAGCATTTACCTTTTAAAAATATATATATATACACATTTTACAAGTCGCTCAGCTTCAGGCAAGGTGTTTATAACGACTACTAAAGCCTAGTTGATAAAGACCACCAAACGCATACCCGTCCACGACAAAGCTGGCTTACTAGCTGGCAGAGAAAGAACAAGATTAGACGAGATTTTGGAGAAGGACGGAATTTAGGTGAAATTTAAAATAAAGCAGTGCTCGAAGCACCTGGGTGGCTCAGTCGGTGGAACCACGGAATCTTGATCTCAGGGTCCTAAGGTCAAGCCCCGCATTGGACATGAATCCTAATTAAAACAAATGAGTAAAATAAAATAAAGCAGTCCTCGAATGGGCTCGAAGAAAAGCAGCGCTGTGTGTCATGGGGTTCACATCACACTGGGCTGAGAAGCTGGTTCAGGGTGCACAAGCTTAAAACAAAGGTGCAATGTTGCGTCCGAAAACGCCTCATCTGTGCACTACAGCTGGAAATCGACACGGCTCAGCATCGCAGGCAAAATGATTGAACAAACAGCAAGGGCTCTAGCACTTTAGATGGAGAGCAAGGTTTCTCGGCATGCCTGGGTTTAATTAGCTAAAGCGCTTTTTCCAGGTTCCCGGGGTCCAGAACCAAGGCCCCAGCGAGGCTGCCGAGAGCTGCCTCAGGCGGGCTACCCACGATCCTCAGGCCGTCGCGGCTCCCCACCCCCCGGGTCTCCGGTGCACCCCGGCGGCCCCCCGCGCCCTCCCGCCTGCCCGGGCTCCCCGGACGCTCCCGCCCGGCCCGCGGCCAACTCGCGCGGGCAACGCAGGCCGCACCGCCCGGCCGCGGCGACAAGGTCGCCGAGCGACCCGGAAGCACTCGGGCCTGTCCCGCGCCCTCCCGCCGAATGGATATAGTGACACCCAACTTCCCTCCGTATGATCCCAGAACTTTAGCGAGGCCCCCACAAAACGGCCCCACTCCGCTCTGTGGAGAGCCCAAGTCAGGACGCCCAACTACAGGCCCTGCTCTCTTACCTGAGGAGCTAACACGCACGACTGCGCGTGCGCAGGGTTTGCACAGCCCCGCCCCTCCTGGCGTTGGCCCCGCCCCACACCGAATTACCTTTTATCGTGCTGTTCTTACTGAGAGCAGGTCCAGACTGCGGGCTATGTCCGTTAATTTACTTAATCCTCACAAAAACCCTATGTCCTAATAGGTGCTATGAGTGTCTCATTTTACAGAGAAGGAAAGAGTTTTACCCTGCCTACAATCACAGAGCTAACCAGAGACAAAATTGGATTTGAACTTAAGACACTGACTCGAAAAACCTGTGCTCAATTATTTTCAGCAATATGGTCATCACCTGGGAGCTTGTTAGAAATGCAGACCTGTTTCAGTAGGCAGGCGTAACTAACGTGCCCCAACGGTAACCCTGGAATGCAAATGCCCAAATCCCCAGTTCATTAAAGTCCTGTTCATCCTCCTCTAAGTCTCCAGCACCCCTCCCAAAGGCTCCTTTGGGAGTCTGTACATTCCCCAGTGTGACCCTGATTTGCTAACTCCAGCAGAGGGATGCAAGTGACCAGAAAGAAGTTCCCTTGCTTCATCATGCCCAAAGCACGGAAGTTGGCCAAAGTCCCAGTCCTCTGAAGTGGTCATAAGAGGAGGGGCAGCAGGGATCTCTTCATTAGTAAGTACCTGGGAAGTTTGCTGTCCATTTTCCCACGGAAAGAGACAGCGCAACCTGTGTGGGATCCTCAAAATAAAGCTCTCTCAATCAGCTGACAAGAGGTTGCAGAGATCAGATGACCCATTGTTACTAGTGACAAAAGGCACCTACTGGAGAAGAGAAGCCCAGGATCTTGGTGATGACCCAGCCTTCCCTTCAGATGGCCACAGGACACAGAGCAGTGGTACCTGCAGCCTCTGGCAGCGCTGTCCCTGGGGCGGGGGAAGTGGGGGCAGAACTCCTGCTTGCCAGCATCCCCGTGCTGGAGTGGGGTGCTTCTCCATCACCCCCAGTCTAGGATGCCAAAGTGTCACCAGTTAAACTGCCCTGGACCCCGAATGTTTCCACCATCCACTAACTAGACTTCATCCCTGACTCCCTGGTGTTCAACTTCTGAAGAGGGGAGCCAGTTTTTAATAAACTCCCAAAACACCAAGAGGTTACACCCTCTCCCTATATGTGGGATTCCAAAGTAAATTTCAATCCTATACTACACTAGGAAGTAGCACTTCTCTTGGTAAAGAAGAGGGAAAAAGCCCAACTTAATCCTGAAGGGGCACTCTACTACATAAAGAGGAGGATGGCACAGGAGGCGCCGATTTACCTGCCCCTAAAAATCAGCCTTGGGCCAATTGGCACACAAGGGCCATATGCTGCTGCTTTTTTTTTTTTTTTTCCGTGATTCATTGGTTGCATATAACACCAGTGCTCATTCCATCAGGTGCCCTCCTTGATGCCCATCACCCAGTTGCCCCGTCTTCCCACCCACCTCCCCGCCAAGAACCCTCAGTTTGTTCCCAAGAGCCATATGCTTCTTGATTCTTGCTTCCCTGCTTTACTAATCAGACTAGAGTTCAATCACCCTAGACATTTTTGGTCACCAAGTTTTTTTTTTCCTCTCTCTCTCTTTCTCCCTCTTTCTCTCTCAACCTCTCAATCTCTCTCTCTTTCCAGAATTCTCTCTTCTCCCCCCCACCCAGTATAAGTCCATAGCCTAGAAAAAAAAATGAAAAGAAAAAAAATTAAGAAAGAACAATGTCTTTAATCTCAAGGAAAGGAGCTTTAAACACACCTCCTGTGATGAAGCCACCAGGAGTGAGAGTCAAGCCAGGGCGGTGCCGTCTAAGCGGTCCCCCACCACTTATCTCAGGCCTGGGTGCATCGAGGAGCTAAACAGAAGCTGGGACTGCACAGAACCGGAGGCCCACCTGCACTCAAAAGCACACCAATGCAAATGTATCATATAATCTAGGTTATTACACAATCATTCATGCTGTTTACCCCCACCATGCATGTAGACAATTAAGAGTCAAGTGGGGGGGCACCTGACTGGCTCAGTTGGTGGAGTACGAGACTCTTGATCTCAGGGTTGTGAGTTGGAGCCCCACACTGGGTGTAGAGAATACTTTAAAAAATAAAATCTTAAGAAAAAAATAAGAGTCAAGTAGGTAGAACTGTAAGACTGACAGCCTACCCTCAGCCTAGGGAGACTAAGAAGAATCAGAGCTCACATTACCAATTCCAAACAGCCCCCCAAATCCTCCTATAATTACAGACATGAGTGTCAAAACAGGATCCAGGCATATTGTCTTATCATTTTACTCATTAAGAAGCACACAAAAGACAAGAGCAACATTTGAATTAATACCTTAAATTCTACCTTCCCCAGGAAAACAAAGACAATAATGCTAAGGGACAATCCCACTAAGCAGCTTGGCAAGGAGTCCAGTCTTACTCCTTTTCTTTTTTGGGAGGGAGATTCTGAAATACACAACCTTCCCACCTACAGTGAATAGCATCCCATTGTTATGTAAGTAATAAGATCTCCAACAGGGAAGTGGTTTATGGAAATATAAAAATAGTAAGACAGTCAGATATTCCAATTTTACCCTTTGACAAACATTTTAAAAATACATTATTACAAATATAATGAAACCCAGAAACCTATCCAACTAGGAACCCTCTCTGGTCTCTTCTTTCCCCGCTGTAAAATGGAGATTAAAAGTTGCTCTCCTACACCTACCACCTGCCTCAGTAAGATATGTTCTGTTGACATACAAAATTTCCTCAATTCTGTGATGGAAAATTGTATGTCTGATTCAGACATACAATTCGTTTGTTAGAAAGTTAATATCTGTTATCTTCTGGTAATGGACTCTATTCTTACTTTCCTTGGGAAGATTGTCTATAATGGTAATATAATCAACCCCTGGGGTTATATTCCCTAATCCTCACACTGCTCTGCACCTGTAGTTTGCCTTTTGTCAGAGATGGGTGTGCAAACAGGCAGGTGGGGGCGGGGAGAATTCAATGATTTATTTCTCATGTGAACTGGGGGAGCCCTTTATTCCACCTCCTGAGAAACTCCATTAAAAGCCGTCACTACCCCTGGACGACCACAGAACAGGTTCATCAGCAGGGAGCCAGCATGGCCAGTAAGTCCAAATTTATTGACTATATTGACGAAGCTTTGGAAAAAGCAAAAGACACTGCGCTTTCTCGCTTGTTTTTCACTCATCAGGGGATTCCGTACCCAATCACCATGTGCACCTCAGAAACTTTCCAGGCCTTGGACACCTGTGAAGCCAGAAGTGATGACATAGTGCTCACATCTTATCCAAAGTGTGGTAAATGACAAATCATTTTCTACAGGGGCACTTTTTCATCGTGAGTAGTTGGGCAGGGTGCAAAGCCAAGGTCGGGGAGGAGGGCAGTTCATTGCTGCATGAAGCCAGCCAGAAAGCAGTGGGAGGGGTGCCTGGGTGGCTCAGTCGTTAAGCGTCTGCTTTCGGCTCAGGTCATGATCCCAGGGTCCTGGAATCGAGCCCCACATCGGGCTCCCTGCTCGGCGGGAAGCCTGCTTCTCCCTCTCCCACTCCCCCTGCTTGTGTTCCCTATCTAGCTGTGGGTCTCTGTCTGTCAAATAAATAAATAAAATCTTTTAAAAATTTTTAAAAATTTTAAAAAAAGAAAGCAGTGGGAGGATGATCAAGACAGTTAAGAGCAGGGGTGCCTGGGTGGCTCAGTCGTTAAGTGTCTGCCTTCGGCTCAGGTCATGATCCCAGGGTCCTGGGATTGAGCCCCGAATCGGCGGGCTCCTTGCTCAGCGGGGAGCCTGCTTCTCCCTCTCCTACTGCTTGTGTTCCCTCTCTCGCTGTGTCTCTCTCTGTCAAATAAATAAATAAAATCTTAAAAAAAGAAAAAGATGGTTAAGAGCATAACTTGTGAAATCAATAACTAGAACTGCTAGATTTAGAAACCTCGGTGTCTGAGGGAGGAGGTCTGCTGGATGATGGATGCAGAAAAGATTCATGGTGGGGCAGGCTACCAGAAAGATGAATGCAGGAGAGTCCATTTGCTATCAAGCACTGAGAGCAGTAAAGATTTTCATCTTGATTCTTGACTAAAGACAAAAGCATGCCCATGTCTATAATGCATATGATGATTTCCACATAATAGATTATTTTTCAGGATCAAACATCATCAATCCTTTAGTTTTGCAAACCAGTTTTACATGGTTTACATTCATCAATGGAGGATGAGACATTGAGAATCTAAATTTTCCTATTTCATAAAATCTCACAATCTACTTTTGATTTTTTTTAACTGGTATTTCATCTCTAAGTGTTTATTAAAGCCATCTTCATTTGATATTTTTCTGTTAATTGATGCTGGGTTTTAATAAAATCAAAATTATAATACTCCTATAGAAAATATTCATTAACGTAAGGGAAAATAACACATGATATATAATAAAAAATCATTTCTATAACATAACATTGTTCTGTAAGGGACATATGATAGATTCAAGAAATATTGCCACTTGTTAAAGGAAAAATCTGAAAAATAAGGTAACTTGAATTTTGTACCAACGTAAGAAGTGCTGTTTCCACAAAACTGTTTCTTTTATAGCCCAGTTTATTTCAAATGTACATTGTACATACCACAGGATGGCTGTAGGTTTTAATTTTTATGATATATATGTGAAAGTAACATGCCTTTGCTATATCAAGACTCCTTAATGAGCTTTGATTCTTTGATTTTTCTTATAGGTTCAAATTGGATTCTCCACATCATTAGTGAATTGATATTTGCTGAATCTAAAAAAACGTATGAATATCCAGAATTCCCAATTCTTGAATGTGGGGACCCAGAAAAATACCAGGTTAGTACCAAACAGCCTTTAAACTTACAGTAAATTATCATAGAAAGAATTCTTCCGTTTGGGAGATATTTTTAGTTTTGCGTTCAGAAAGTACAGTACTTAAATCATGGCAACTTATTTTGTGCTTACCATATTATCCCAGCACTTTTCAAGGATTATCTCATTTCATGGCGAAATAACCTCATCACAATTTTACAAAAGATAAACCATTAGAAACTTACCCAACGTCAAGGGGCTAATAAATGGCAGGGCCAAGATTTGAACCCAAGTTTTCCAATTGGAGCTTCTTAACCTCTGCACAATATAGACAGCCTACTTACAAAAGAAAAATAGGAGGGAAAGCAAGCCGAGAAACCTGAAGAAAAATTAAAACCAGGGGTGCCTGCCTGGCTCGTTCAGTAGAGCATGTGACTCTTGATCTCAGGGTTGTAAGTTTGAGCCCCATTTGGATGTAGAGATCACTTAAAAAATAAAATCTTAGGGGCGTCTGGGTGGCTCAGTAGTTAAGCATCTGCCTTCGGCTCAGGTCATGATCCCAGGGTCCTGGGATCGAACCCCGCATCGGGCTCCCTGCTCAGCAGGGAGCCTGCTTCTCCCGCTCCCTCTGCCGCTCCCCCTGCTTGTGTTCCCTCTCTCGCTGTGTCTCTCTTTGTCAAATAAATAAATAAAATCTTTAAAAAAAAATCTTAGGGGCCCCTGGGTGGCTCAGTCAGTTAAACAGCCAACTCTTGGTTTTGGTTCAGGTCATGATCTCAGGGTCTTGAGGTTGAGGCCCAGTCTGGCTTGGCACTCAGTGTGAAGTCTGCTTGTCTCTCTCTCTACCCCAACACCTGCTCCCCCCACCCCCCACCGCCTGGCACATGCTCTTGAACTTTCGCAAATAAGTAAAATCTTTATTTAAAAAAAATCTTAAATAAATAAATAAAAATAAAAAGCAAAATCTTAAAAAAAATTAAAACAAAAAAGCTTTGTCTCTGAAGACAGAGACTTGGGTGGGATGCCAACAGGAGGGTTCCTCTAAGGCCCAGATAATTCTGCCCTCAGTTTATGTCAGCAGTCCCCAGACTTTTCCTAGGAAGACATTACCTTTGATGTCTCTGCCTTGGGGATGACTCAAGTAGTAGCTGAGAGAGTAAGTCACTGGTGTGTGTAAAGGTTCTAACAGGTCATCCTACCTGTTCTAATTCACCTTACCACATATTATTACTCGCTTTATCAGTATAACTAAGTGGGGCTTGGGTGTGAGACAGGACACTCTGGTCCCTGCCAGGGAAGGCAAGAAAAGGGTGGGAGGAAGGATCTGCCTCAGGACTTCAGTGCTTGGGTAGGACAAGTGAGAGGAGGACCATCCCTGGCCCTACCTAGATACACCAGAAATGCATTTGGGAAGGGAAAGCTGTATTCAAGGGGGAACCACAGTCTCAGCAAAACTTTGAGAAGTGTTTACTACCAAGACTCCCAACAAGCAGACAGAAGAGCTCAGTTACTAAGAAATAAGTCATTGGATTGAGACTTAGGAAGTGGTTTCTGGAAAATGACAGAGACACCTGGCGTGATGACAAATATAAACTGAAAAGTTGGATCTTAGGTGGAAGGAAGCCCATTTCCGTGGATCGGACTAAAGTCACAAAAAATTACATGCAAATGAGATGTACAGGGACTTGGGGGTGGGCTGGAGTGGGAGGTAAGTGTGCATCCTGCATGTGGTTGGCTGCAACCTCAGGAGGCATCCGCGGCGCCAGCAGCCACATCGGGGCCCAGACGTGGGCGGTCAGGACTGGCTCGGGATGCATGGACAGGAGTCTTCAGCAGCTTTTTCCTAGGGAAGAAACGATGGGCCAATGAAAAGCCCCACTGGTTTCTCCTGTCCAGGCCATTGCGTAACATTTTTTCTAAAGAGGGTGTTTCGCATCAACTTTACAATTTATGCTAACATTTCCCCAGTTTTCCACTTTTTTGAAAAATAAACTCTACACCCAAAGTGGGGCTCGAACTCACAACCTGGAGATCAAGAGTTGCATGCTCTGACTGAGCCAGCCAGGCGCCCCTATTTTAAAATGGAAATCAGTAAGAAGATGAGCTTTATTCAACAGTTACTCACTTTACAGAAGACTTTCCTAAAATACATATATTTTCCTGGGGTGCCTGGCTGTCTCAGTTGGTGGAGCATGCAACTTGATATCAGGGTTGTGGGTTAGAGCCCCACATTGGGCATAGAGATTACTTAAGAAATAAAAGAAAATAAACATACAGTCTTCACGTTGCATGTACTTTGGCCATATCACATTTTCATCAACATTTTATTATATGCATATCAGTTTTGTTACAGTTATTTCTCATTTTCTCCCTGGATATTTTTCTAATCCTTTTAGGAACTTTACCATTTATCATGTCTTTTTGTGATTTTTGGCTGTTCGGTGTAGTGGAAACAGCATACTATAACTTAATCTGAAAATCACCACCTGTGCGATTTTGTACAAAGCATTTAAAACCCCAAAGCCTATTGTTAATCTGTAAAATGGGGGTTATAATACCCACCTGAGAGGATTGCTGTGAATGAATATAAAAGTGACATTCAAAACTAAAAATTAGGACAGTTTGATATAAATCAAGTATTATGACTATTAATCACCAGTTGGGCCCATATCATTGACTTAATTTTTTTTTTTAAAGATTGTATTTATTTATTTGACAGAGAGAGACACACACAGCAAGAGAGGGAACACAAGCAGGGGGAGTGGGAGAGGGAGAAGCAGGCTTCCCGCTGAGCAGGGAGCCTGATGCGGGGCTCGATCCCAGGACCCTGGGATCATGACCTGAGCCAAAGGCAGACACTTAACAACTGAGCCACCCAGGCACCCCTTACATTTTTTTTTTATTTTTAAAACCTCATTTTATTTTTTGCCCTTGCTTGAGTTGGGATCTCCACTAAGTTTTTACAGAACAATTGGCTATAAATATCTAAATATCATTTATCATGGAAATAATGTGACCAAGCAGTGAGTGACCTCCACAAGTGTGGAAATAAACTTGAAGCTTTAGCCCGTATAACATACTAAAGGCCTAATATTAAGATGAAACCCTTACCCCTGGCAGATTAAACAGCTAACTTCATTTTTTAAATTATCAGTAGAAGTGGATACACACACACAAAGAATCAATGACTGAGTCCTCACACTGACAAGAATTTCTCTAGTAAAATATTTCTCAGATATTCAAGTGACTGTGCCCTTTCAGGTTCTGTTGGGATATTTGAATGGAAATTTAAAATTTTATTTATTTATTTGTTTATTTATTTATTCGAGAGAGAGAGAGGGCATGAGTGGAGTGGAGCGGGGGGGGAGGGAGAGGCAGGCTCCCTGCTGATGAGGGAGCCCAAGGTGGGTCTTGATCACAGGACCTGGGGATCATCACCTGAGCTGAAGGCAAATGCTTAACTGACTGAGCCACCCGTATGCCCCTGGAATTTTTTTGGTAAAAAAAAAGCTAGATATTAAAAATAGGTTTGGAGGAGCTATGAAAAACTTGAATCTTTCTGTTAAAGACCTTGACTATAGACGAGAGCCAAATTAAGTCAAAGAGTAGACCGCAGATTATGAGCTGTCTTAAACAAAAGAATTTGATGTGATTTCGAGAAAAGGTAAACTTTTCAAAAAATGACCAAAAAAAAAAAAGATAAGCCAGTTCCTACAAGGAGTCCAAAAGGACGATTTAAATTATTTGTTTATGATTTTCTCCATTCCTCACCCCCACAAAACAAGAAAACAGAAAAAAATTAAAAATTGGAGGAGGGGCACCTGGGTGGCTCAGTCAGTTAAGCATCTGACTCCTGATTTTGGCTCAGGTCATGATCTTAGGGTTGTGAGATAGAGCCCAGCAACCCCGTCCAGGGCTCCCTGTTGGGGGTGGAGCCTGCTTAAGATCCTCTCTCTCCCTCTGCCCTGCCCCCACCCCTGTGCGCAAGCGCACTCTTCTTTTCTCGCTCTAAAACAAAAAACAAAACAAAACAAAAATTGGAGGAGGAAATGGAAAAAACACAACAATAGTGATGCTTGAAACTACCATTCAGATACTATACTTAAGAGTGATTGACCATAAGACACACACACACACTTTCACTTTATTGTGTATATTTTTAAGAGAATGAAACAGTTTCCATCGCCAAGGATTTTGGCAACTCACCTCCATTATGACAAATTACCTGGGTCCATCTTCAAGAATAAAGCCAAGGTGAGTGTCCCTTCTTACTCGTATTTCAATTTGAAGTTTTTAACGTCTAGATATTGCCTTTCTGACCTATGTGATAAAGTTTGCATCTTATAGAATTTTAATAAATGAAGTGTGAGATTTAGTATTTCTTCTGTTGTTTCTTTCTTCAGATTATATTTGCTATAGTTTCATGCAAAGCAAATGCATTTTCAACTAAGATATAAAACATATACCTAGAATTGAACATATTTTAAAATCTGTTTTGTAGTGAATAGATTTCAGAATCCCACTAAGATATTTAGAGTGTTTAACAAAAGAGTACAGGGGCGCCTGGGTGGCTCAGATGGTTAAGCGTCTGCCTTCGGCTCAGGTCATGATCCCAGAGTCCTGGGATCAAGTCCCACATCAGGCTTCCGGCTCAGCGGGGAGCCTGCTTCTCCCTCTGACCCTCTCCCCTCTCATGCTGTTTCTCTCTCGCTCGCTCTCTAAAAAATAAATAAATAAAATCTTTAAAAAAAAAAAAACAAAAGAGTACAATCTAGGAAAACAAGCAGAAGGGTTTTGTTGTTGTTGTTGTTGTTCTTTCTGGTGAGCATTATTTACCTGAGGTCTGAAACAATTTTATTTCTGAATTTCACATGTAATAGCAAACTTCATGTCATGCGTACGTAACTATAGGTGCGTTGGTTACTCTTATCACTGTTTGATCTTCTCCCACCAAACTCTGAACATTATTTTCATTTTCCTTAATATTATTTTGCAATTTTTACTTTGCATTTTAACTTTCCAGATCATGCCCTTAGGACTATTCTAATGAGCTTGCTCTTTTTTCCTTTTCGATATCTTCTACATACAACTTTTTACTAAGTTCATTAGCAGAAGTTCTCTGGTACATCAATCTGCTTTTTCTTCTTTTTTCTCCCTTCTCCCCAAATTTCCCCATCTGCTACCCCCCTCTTCTTCAATTTCTTACTGTCCTTCTTTCTCTATATGTTAACAAAATTAAGTCATATACAGGATTACACAATGATATTGCTCACCCCTTCACTTTTCCAAAGTTCAAAACATAGACCTGAATAAATTAACTTAATTTTCTCTCTCTAGATATTGGTAATATTTCGAAACTCTAAAGATACGGCAGTGTCTTTTTTCCATTTCCACAATGATGTCCCCGATATTCCAAGCTATGGCTCTTGGGATGAATTCTTCAGACAGTTCATGAAAGGACAAGGTACAGCTGTTGGCTAAATAATTCTTTCTTCAACAGATGACCACATTAAGTACAAAAAAATCAAATGTGTCTTACAGTAAAGAAAGAAAGAAGATTAAGGAGGATCCAGGAACCAAAAAGTTGCTTTTAAATGAAGTTTTATAGCACCACTAGTTCTGTTCATCAAATAATAATACATTAGTGTTTTTAAAAATGATTTGGGTAATTCATATGTTGACTATGAGTAGGGGGTAGGCATCGAACAGACATGGGACAGAGGCATCTGGCTGTCTCAGTAGGCAGAGCATGTGACTCTCGAGCTCAGGGTTGTGAGTTCGAGCCCCATGTTGAAGGATAGAGATTACTAAAAAAATAATAATAATAATAAAAACTTAAAAAATAATAATAAAATAAAATTTAAAAATCTTAAAAACCTACACCTAAGATATTCATTTGCCAGAAAGGAAATCAGCTTTGCCAGACCATGTTGTTGTTTCACCTCTGGTTATTGCTAACTGCAATTTTATAAGTGCCTACTGATGCTCCAGGTACTAAAGTAGGTGTTGTATGTGCATGATTTCGCTTAGGACCATAACAAATTATGAATAAGGCAGTAGTCACCCCTTGCACAGATGAGGAAACTAATCAAAAAAGTTAAATCCCTTGCCAGGGGTCCCACTGCTTGTAGGTACCAGTGACTCTATCCCATGGGTATAGTGGCCAGAGGTTAAAGATGCCTTCTCTAACTCATGGCTCTCTTGAGTCTTATGTGGAGTAGAAGGCAGAATTAATGCCAGATGACCCTAGAAAGGAAGCTATTGACAGGTCACTCCAAGAGGACCACTTTTGAAGGTGACCAGCCCAGCAACCACATGCATGGACACGGGGGCAGTCAGTACTGGCCCCAAAGCAAAGATGAAGTCTGGGGATTGGGGTGTAGGAGAGGAAAAAATAGTGCTCAGAAGGTGCTTATGAAGGGCCTTGAAGAAAGTTTAGTTTGTCTGGAAACCACTCACTGAGACTGGATGGAGGAGGCAGTTAAGGCAAGTCTGAAACGGCCCCCCGTTGATAACATGAGAGGGCATTTAGTGATGAGAAGCTGTCATCACTGGAACAATCTATCGCAGGGAATCTTTGTGGCTCTAGCCACCCTTTCAGCCTAATTATTTGATTGACAATGATAAAATGTGCTGGGCTTAACCTGAATAAAGTTTCTGCCTTACAAACTTGTTAAATTCAACCTAGGGAGGAAACTCAATGTACTGGGAAACATACAGGATTTGGAATGAGAGGTCTGGATTGGGCTTCATCACTTACTACTATATATTATAATTAATATTAGAGAGAATAAAATAGTTACCACTTACTGAACAATTACTACATGCCAGGTACTATATGCTATCCCTCACGTACGTTTTTAAATTTCATTTCTCATAAGAACCCTATGAGGATAAATACTATTATTGTCCCCGTTTTATAAAGATGGAAATAGAGGCATAAGAAAGTCACGCGGGGGCGCCTGGGTGGCTCAGTTGGTTAAGCGACTGCCTTCGGCTCAGGTCATGATCCTGGAGTCCCTGGATCGAGTCCCGCATCGGGCTCCCTGCTCGGCAGGGAGCCTGCTTCTGCCTCTGACCCTCCCCCCTCTCATGTGCTCTCTCTCTCTCATTCTCTCTGTCTCAAATAAATAAATAAAATCTTTAAAAAAAAAAAAAAAGAAAGTCACGTGGCCATTAAGTAGCAGAGCTGGAACATTTTTAGATTAATTAATTAATTTTTAAATTTAAATTCAATTAATTAACATACAGTGTATTATTAGTTTCAGAGGCAGAGTTCAGTGATTCATCAGTCCTATATAACCCAGTGAGCAGAGCTAGAACTTAAACCCATGTTCAAATCACTCATGCCTGGGTGATTTTGAGCAAGACATTTGATCGCTGTGAACTGTGGTTTCTTTACTTCTAAGGTAAGGAGAAGAGTATCTGACCTACCGGAAGTGGGACAGTATAGCATTTTGTTTGGCAGCCTTAGCTTTTGTGTCAGACAGATGTCGAAAGATGACCACACCCATAACTTACTAACCCTGTGACCTTGAAGTGGTGACTTAGCTTCTCTGGGTTTCTATTTCCCCATCAACAAAACGGTTTAAAAATTGTACCTATCACATTGGATTGCTTTAAAGACTGAAGGATAAAATGTATCAATTAATAGTGCATTTGGAAGCCTAGAAAACCTGACCACAGTGGCCTAAACAGATTGGGTTTTATTTTTCTTACTAAACAAGAAGGCTGAAGGTAGGCAGCTGCTTCCGCTGCCCAGTGATATCGGGCCAACACCTCTGACATTCCCTTGGCCTCTCCCTTTTGTGCCTTTTGCAACATACTCTCAAGTTGGCTACTGTCCTTCCAAGCATCCCCTTCAGTTCACGAAGAAGGCTTAACAAAACAGCAACAGGTTTGCTAGAAACCTTCCAGCAGACTCCTGCTTGTCTTGCTGGCCAACCACAGCTCTGAGGGAGGCTGAAAAACAGGAACCCAAATTCTCACAATTGGCTTAGACCCAATCAATCAGTTTAGGTAACAACAAAAATGGAAGTGTATCGGATACTGGGTGTGAAACTTACAGTGTTTGCCACAACAAATAAAATATGTAGAAACAGCCTGGCTCGGAGCAAGGACTTCATGATAATGATAATAATCATGAGAATATTACTATTATTAATGATATAGCAACAATGGCTAAAATTTGTTGAGTGGGTACTATAAATCAGGGGCCGTTTTAAGCATTTGATATGTGTTAATTCACTTAAACCTCCTAACAATCCCATTTTACAGATGAGGAACCTAAGGTACAAAGGGGTTCAGCGAATTGCTCAAAGTCACACAGTCCGCAAGCACCACAGCCCATCAGTGTCTCGATCTGCACTGTCCAGGATGGGGGCCACTAGCTACATGTGGCAACTGAGCACTTGAAATGTGACAAGTGCAATCGAGGAGCTAAATTTTAAATTTTATTTAATTTGAATTAGCTTAAATTTAAACTTAAAAACAGATAGTTCAGTTACTGGAGACTTTTAAATAAGTTTGGTACAAGTTGAGTGTATGAATCTACTTTTTCAACCAAAGTTTTAAAAGTTGAAAAATACATCAAGTATTTTTTTAAACGATTTTATTTATTTATTTGACGTACAGAGAGAGAAAGTGCACAAGTAGGCAGAGTGGTAGAGGGAGAGGGAGAAGCAGGCTCCCCACTGAGCAGAGAGCCCAATGTGGGGCTTGATTGTAATAGAATTTAAATAAAATAAAAATTACAGTTGTGGCTTGCATTAAATTTCTATTGGGCAATGCTGATCTAGATAATATCTGTCTCATCATTTCTTTCTTTCTGGCACTATCTGTCAGTTTTCATGTATCATTCACTATTTCTGAATTATTTTATTCACCTAAATATTCATGAATGTCTGATAGTTTTTATCAAACCACTTTTGCAACTAGCTTAGTTGTGTTATTATTTTATTTTATTTTTTAAAGATTTTATTTATTTGAGAGAGAGAGTGAGAGAGAGAAAGAGCACAAGAGGGGGGAGCGGGAGAGGGAGAAGCAGACTCCACGCTGAGCAGGGAGCCCGATACGGGACTCGATCCCGGGACTCCAGGATCATGACCTGAGCCGAAGGCAGTCGCTCAACCAACTGAGCCACCCAGGCGCCCCTAGTTGTGTTATTATTTATGAAAATAATTAAATGAATAGAAATCTGACAATAGGAATGGTTTATGCCAATTCTTTTGGAGCAGGGATTTGTAATAACAAATAAACATCTTGTTTGAGGGGTGCCTAGGTGGCTCAGTCGGTTAAACGTCAGACTCTTGATTTTGGCTCAGGTCATGATCTCAGGGTCATGAAATCAAGCCTCTCGTGGAGCCCTTTGGTGGGCTCCTCGGCGAGGAGTTTGCTTCTCTCTCTCTCTCTCTCCCTCTGCCCCTCCCCCGACTGGCATGTGTGGTCTCTAAAATAAATAAATAAATCTTTAAAAAAAAATCTTGTTTGAGCATATACACATATGTATAGTTTATATTTTAGAGCATAAATTAACCATCTATCATTTTAACCTCAGTTATTTAAAATTCCTTAAGAATTTTTCCCCCTGTGTTTTTAGTTTCTTGGGGAAGTTATTTTGATTTTGCCATTAATTGGAACAAACATCTTGATGATGAAAATGTTAAGTTCCTATTATATGAAGACCTGCAAAAGGTGAGATTATGATTATTGACATTCTATAGCAAAATTTCTTATAAAATATAACATAGAGCACTTACTTTTAATGTCTGGTTGTGTGAATATTGTATTCAATTAAAAAAAGGAGTATTCCAAATATGTGGGAGAGGTTAGGAAAAAAAATACAATGCATAGGGGCTTAGGATTAAACAGAAATAAAATAATGCTTAGCAATTTATGATTAAGAGTGGCTGCTTTATTTTCCTGCTATGATAGATGGTCCAATTTAAGAATGGCAAAAATAATAGGTAGGTTTCAGTTGAGATTTAAATGAACATGCATTTGGCTGTGAATTGATTTTTCCATATGATATTATTTTTTTTTAAGATTTATTTATTTATTTATTTATTTATTTGAGAGAGAGAGAATGAGAGACAGAGAGCATGAGAGGGAGGAGGGTCAGAGGGAGAAGCAGACTCCCTGCCAAGCAGGGAGCCCGATGCGGGACTCGATCCCAGGACTCCAGGATCATGACCTGAGCCGAAGGCAGTCGCTTAACCAACTGAGCCACCCAGGCGCCCTGATGTTATTTTTTAAATTGTTTATCCATGAACATTTAGTGAGTGAGTGCTCAGCATTGTTCTAGGCCCTTGTGATACATCAATGAACAGACCAGACAAAGTTCACTGGCCTGGAGAAGCTTACCTTCTAGCTAAAGAAGGCGGGGAGAGAGAATGATAAATAATAAACACAGTATTTTTTTAATGTTTATAATATTTAAGACAAAAATGGCATAGCTGATTAAGGAAAATTGGAAATGTTAGGTAGGGGTGGGGAACTGGGATGCTGGACATATCCCAGTATAGAATAGGGTAGTTGGCAGAAATCTCATGGAAAGTAAGTGATTTGAGCAAAGATCTAAAGAAGAGAGGGAGTGAGCCCAGTAGGTAATTGGAATAAGAGCTTTCCAGGCATACACAATCAACTGGAGCAAAGGATCTAAGGTTGGAGTGTTCCTGGCATCATTAAGTGACATGAAGGAGGTGAATGTGGCAGGGTCAGTAGGGTTGAGCCTGGGGAGATTAACCAATGAGAACAGAGGCAAGGGAATGAGGTAGAGTGAAGTATGGGAATCATGTGACAGGCCATTGAAATTCCTTTGGCTTTCACTCTGAGTGAAATGGAAAGCCATTGTAGGAGAAGAAGAGTGATAGGAATTGGTGTGTTTTTAATAGGTTCATTCTGGTTGGTGTATGAGAACGAAATAGGGAGAAGCAAAGACAGTGTAAAGAAACCCATGAAGAGAGTACTGCAATAGTCCAGGCAAAGGAAGATGATGGCTCAGGCCAGAAGGGGCAGTGGCAGTGATAAGTGGTTGAATTCTGAATATATGTTGAAGAAGAGCTAATAGGATTTGCTGCTGGACTGAACAGGAGAAAGAGTGGTGAGAGAAAAAGAGAAATCAGATAAGACTCCAATGTTATTGGCCTGACCAACTGAGAGGATTGAGTTGTCATCATTTGAGTAGGAGATGCCAGTAGGTGAAAGCGGGATTGTGGGAAAGATCAGGGGTTTGGTTTTGGATATGCTTAGTGTGAGATGTTTATCAGTCATCTAAATGGAGAGGTCAAGTAGGCAGTTGGGTATAAAAGTCTCGAATGAAGAGAGAGTTCTGGGCTGTATATATAAATTTGGCACATGAGATTACATACCCATGTATGTAAGTATACAGACGGAGAAGAGAAGAAGACCAAGGACTGAGCCCTGGAGTCCCCCATAGAGAGAGTTTGGGAAACAGGGGGAATCAGCAAAGGAGACAGAGGAGTGGCTATTGAGGTAGACAGGAAGCCAGGGTCCTGGAACTCCAGTGAAGAAAGTATGTTAAAAAGAAGGGAGAATGGCAGATGCTTTCTAGTGGAAGTGCGTTCTTAACACCAGTCTCCCCTGAAATTCTTATCAAAGGAAAGTATAACTGAACCCGTCCCTTCCCTTGATAGAGTGCATCTGTGGAACATGAAAGAACATATCAATTTAATCTGTTCTCCTTCTAGCCTAGAGTAATGTCTCTAAAACTTGTGTTCTATGGAATGTCAGTGTTGCTTGGATGTTAATAATTCTTGCTTAGAGGTTGCCTATTCAAACTGATTTGGGGACTGCTACTCCTTTGGGACGTTCACACTGTAGCTGGCATAGTAAAGATTCAGAGATCCTGTAGGAAAAACTAACAAAAAGGTTATCTTTATTTAACCGAAAGGATTCCAGCCTTATTTGACCTCAACCCTTCACCCTCCTTTTTTTTTTTTCATAAAACATCTATAACCACCTTAAAGTAAATTAGTGTTCTGTAGAATACAGTTTAAGAAACTGTTCTAGGAGATTTATGAATCTTCATGGTCAGAGATACTGTTGAGGAGGTTCATGATTTACAAGGGTATTTAGACAAGATAAATTTCAAGACTCCCTCTAGTTTTTATGATTCCAAAAATTAGACTTTCGTGATGGAATTAAACATAGAATTCAGAAGAAAAGAGAATTGGAACGAGCACGTACAATTACATTAATTTCCTCATCTCATCTAGACTGGTGCTTTTTAATAAAGTATCACCTTAGATGAGATTCTTACCTACTACTTAACGCTTACTATCATTATTTGTATCCTGAAAAGTTCAGGAAGAGTCATATTGAAACTACAAAGTAAAATCAATACAGAATATCATGTAGGGCCATCTTGAATATTGATACAGAAGTATCAAAGGAAGTCTAAAGATAGTGAGATAAATAGTTAGAGAGCTAAGCTTAATAAATCCATTCTGGCTAAGAAGCCTGTCTTTGCTATGGCATGATTCCCATACAAAAAAGTTTATCCTTGAAAATTTTGTTTTCAGAACCTGGCTGCTGGAATAAAACAAATTGCTGAGTTCTTTGGATTCTCTTTAACTGGGGAGCAGATTCAAACCATCTCAGCCCAGAGTACATTCCACGCAATGCAAGCAAAGTCCCAGGAAACACATGGTGCTGTTGGCCGGTTTCTGTTCCGCAAAGGTAAAGTCACCCTGGTTTCTGGGACACCCACAATTTGCATGTAATAGGCAATCCAAATAACTAGACCTTAAGTTAAGACAGGATTTCTTTTTTCTCTCCCTCAACAAGAAGTTTGACACAGTCAGTTCAGAACTAGACTGGCAGGTCTGCAATATCTAAGTTCCTACTACCTTTCTGCTTGGCACTTTTGATGGCAAGATAGCAGCCAGAACACCACCATTACATTAAAATTAAAGGATTGTTTTATTAAAATAAGGGACTAGCAAGAGACAGAATCACGTGTGTTAGCTGAGTGGGGTCCCTTTAAAGAACTTTGTGGGAAGCCTCATCAGTAACTTTGTACACTTCATTGGCCACCTCTCTCTGCCCTGTTGGCTGGGAACTGTGATTTTTTTTTAAGGTGGGAACATTATTACTAAATTAAAATCAGGGTTTTGTTAATAAGGAAGGAAGAGATAATGAGTATCGAATAGGCAACTAGCTATGTCTGTCACTTGATGATTTTACCTAAATTTCATTAAAGCATTCTAATTTCTTACAGAAATTTTTGATAATATAGCTTAGGGATTACCAGGCTTTTTAACTGCATATATAATGAAAGTATAATGTGATTCAGAGCCAGCACACATCACAACGACAACTATCATTTATCAGGCATCTATAGTGTGTTAGACCTCTTGCTGGGCATAAATTTTATAGCAAAAAAAAAAGATATTAATTCCTTAATTTTACTAATGTGGGCACCAAAGCTCAGGGATATTAATTTGTCCATTGCCACAAAGCTAATAATCGATGGAGTCAGGATTTGAACGTCGGTTTACTTGACTCTACTACACTTTATCAAATGAAAACCCATTTAAAATCCCCACCATGGGGCGCCTGGGTGGCTCAGTTGGTTAAGCGACTGCCTTCGGCTCAGGTCATGATCCTGGAGTCCCGGGATCGAGTCCCGCATCGGGCTCCCTGCTTGGCGGGGAGTCTGCTTCTCCCTCTGACCCTCCTCCCTCTCATGCTCTCTGTCTCTCATTCTCTGTCTCAAATAAACAAATAAAATCTTTAAAAAAAAAATTAAATAAATAAAATAAAATCCCCACCATGAATGGAACATTGAATATAAATCTGGCTTTGGTTTGATTCCTGAGTTTATCCCTGATTTTTATGCCTTGTTTGATGAACTTTAAAGGAGGGGAAAAAAGAGAACTTTTCTATTCATTGTTAATCAAGCACTACTCAGAACAGAAAAATTCGAAAATAAAGTAATAATTTAAAATTTTTACAATATTCCTCATAGAAAATTCAGAAAGCATGGGAAAATGTGCAAAAGCATTAAAAATTATCCACATTTCTCCCACCAGAGGCATGTTTAACTTTTTTGGCATATTTCTTCCAGCCTTACTCTGTGATGTCAGCAGATGACATCTGTAAACAGTTTTGTGTTTTACGTTATTCCCTTCATATATCTAAGCATTTCCTCCTGTCATCAAACCCTCTTGATAAACAGACATTTCAAATGGCTATTCAACAAGGAACTTGCACCTTCAACCCAAATCACCAAAAGATTCTAAAGAAAGAAGTAATTTCCTTTGCTTTTAAAAGTAATAAGAAAAACATATACTAATCTCAGGAAAATAATAACTTCCTGCAAAATTTTCAGTATCTGAGGTCTTCACAAAAACCTGCTGTAAAACGATAACTTCTCAAGGGGAAAAGTATTTAAAAGACTTCACAGAGAAAAAAAATGACTCTCAAAAAGTGGAATTTTAGGTCTCAAGGCTTGAGACAGGGGTGGGATAGATCACTGAAGCCTGTTGTCCCCTCAGTGATGTAAAGAGCACATCACTTCCCATGCCACGGATGGGGAAGCCCCAGTGATACTGTTAATTTTACAAGACTTACATTCGTTCTTAAGACTCATTTTCTTCATGTGTCTATTTTCACATTTCAAAGTGAAATGCTGCACTGAAAAATGGTAAAATCGAGAAGAAATAGGGGTGGGGGTATGGGCAAAAGGGGTGAAGGGGAGTGGAGAGGTACACATCTCTGGTTATGGAATGAATATGTCACAGGAATAAAAGGCACAGCGTTAGGAATATAGCTCAGTGGAGTTGTAAGGTGTTGTATACAGGTGACAGAAGGGAGCTACACTTGTGGTGAGCCCGGCATCACTTAAAGAGTTGTTGAACCTGAAACCAATGTAACACTGTGTGTCAACTACACCTAAATAAAAATAAAAAATAAAATAAAATAAAGTAGCTAAAAAATCAGGAAGGAATATTCTTTTTTTTAAATTTCATTTTATTATGTTCTGTTAATCACCATACATTACATCATTAGTTTTTGATGTAGTGTTTCATGATTCATTGTTTGCCTATAACACCCAGTGCTCTGTGCAGAACGTGCCCTCTTTAATACCCATCACCAGGCTAACCCATCCCCCCACCCCCCTCCCCTCTAGAACCCTCAGTTTGTTTTTCAGAGTGCATCGTCTCTCATGGTTCGTCTCCCCCTCTGATTTCCCCAAAAAAAAAGAAGATAGGAAGAAATATTCTAACAGAGTCCGGGTCTGTTGTTTTTTGTGTGTTGCAGGTGAAGTTGGCGATTGGAAAAATTTGTTCAGTGAAACTCAGAACCAGGAAATGGATGCAAAATTCAAAGAGTGCTTAGAAGGCACTTCCCTAGGAGCAAAGCTGAAGTATGAATCCTATTGCCAAGCTTGATTTCTGGTTAATGCTGTAGGCGTGGATATTTTATTTTGATGAATAATAATTAAATTTAAATAATGAAATAAGTTAATCAAATAACCAAATAATGATAACTCAATAACATTTAGATATAAATAACGTGAATTTAATAATACTGACAACATTTGAAGTTTCTGAACTCAGACTTGTTTGCTCGCTTTTGGGGAAAAGGCCATTTAGCTGTCCAAAGGGGATAGTCTTGCTAATGGGGGATGCTGGGCTTTTCACTTCTTTCATGCTCTGGGTTCACATAAGAGCATAAGCAGATACTATCAGAAACATGCGTAAATCAGTGTTTGAGTGTAGATGAGACAGCTCTCCCAATAATGCACAAATTTTTGTCCTCCCAGAATAATTCCTCTCTCACTGAGGATCAAAGCACTTGTGGTGGCTATCTCAAACTTAGAATTGGGGGGAAATGTAATTCCAACTCAGCACTGAAGTCAGATGACTAAATCCCGTCCTCATATAATTCAAGGAAAATGCATTGCTCATCTACTCTGTACATGTCTCTTTAGGAGGCCCTATGGAGGCCCCTCTCTTAAGGGGCTTTATATTTCTAGTTAACACAACGTTTAGTTCAAAGCTAAATATTAGAGATTGTGTTATTGTGGCATAAAGGCTTTTCTACCACAGAGGCCCAGGTAGTCATGTGGAATTTACAAGAGAAGGTAAAGCATGTTCTGGAAAAAACCTCTTAACAATCCTTAATCTTTACATCTTTACTTCTTTACAGATAAGAATAGAATGGTTCATAGAAGTTAGATAAAATTGCTTTGACAAAGACTGCAGGGCTACTATTTCTGGTAATATTGTGGATTACATAAACTAAAAACCCTTCCTTCACAACACCAAGAAACTGGATAAAAATTCTTTAAAATTCTTTTAGTTGATGAGGGCAGCTGGGTGGCTCAGTCGGTTAAGGGTCTGCCTTCGGCTCAGGTCATGATCCCAGAGTCCTGGGATCGAGCTCCCTCCTCAGCGGGGAGCCTGCTTCTCCCTCTCCCTCAGCCTGCCGCTCCCCCTGCTTGTGCTCTCTCTGTCAAATAAATAAATAAAATCTTAAAAAAAAAAAAAAGAATCCTCTCTTCCTCTGCTTTCTACTGTAAACCAATTTGTGTTTGATTTTATGTTTATTACATCAAAAGTATCCTAACTGATCTAATATTCTAAAAACCACTTCTTAGTAAAAAAGTCACTTCATTCACTAATTTATTCAATAAATCTTTATTGAGTACCTACTATGTGCAGCGCTGTACTGGAAATGTGATGTTGGGCAAAAACCATACCGTGTCCTTAGGTGTTTAAATAGAAATTAGTTTCTTTAAAAAAAAATTTATTTATTTTGGAGGCGGGGAGGGGCGAAGGGAGAGGGGAAAGAGAGAATATCAAGCAGACTTCCCGCTGAGCTGAGCTCTGTGGCCCCTCACCACTGGATTGCATGACCCATGAGGTCATGACCTGAGCTGAGACCAAGAGTCAGACGCCCAACTGACTGAGCCACCCAGGCACCCCCTCATTTTTTAAAAAAGATTTTATTTATTTACTTAAGAGAGCGAGCACGGGGGTGGGGGCAGGGGCAGAAGGAGAGGGAGAGAGAATCCTAAATAGACTCCCTGCTGAGCTCAAAGCCTGACACAGAGCTCAATCCCATGACCCTGAGAGTATGACCCAAGCCAAAACCAAGAGTCAGCCACTTAACTGACCACACTGCCCTTCTTTTAACAGACTGGTCTAGGATGTGTCTGGTTCAGGTGAGGCTTGATCAGACAAGGACCTGATTCTTAATCTTCACTTCTCAACTCTACTCTCTCAGTGTAGGCTCCATGTCCAGGGAGGTTTCTCCTGGTGCAGTACCGGAAACAGAAACCACTAAGAATGTTGAGCGTAATGATTTAGTAGGAAATGAACGTGTATGTGTTGGAAGGGATGGCAGAATGGAGACTTCCACTGTATCTGCCATCCAGAGTTCTGCCACCACAGATGTCCCATGCCCTTGGAGCACTGACAAGGACACCTGGAGTCCAGCTCCACTGAGCAGAGGTGCTTGCTTGTCAGCTCGTTCTGTCACAGAAGGATGGCTTTTTCCTCCCCTCCATCTTCCAGATCTTGCACCACTGTTCATCAGTCATCAGCAGAACTCAAATTATGTCCAGAATTTTAACTCCATAGAAATCTGGAAAATGTGATTTTAACCTTCCATACATTATAACCCAGGGCATAGGGAGACATAGAAGGGAGTGAGAATGGAAGCTAAATAAAAATTAACAATATCTAGTGCAGTCCACAGCTTCCGCTAATAATCTTTCAAGCCAACAACAGAACTCTGTTCCCACCTAATGCTGCTGTTCCCTCCTTCAAACGAAAACATGCTTATCCTATCCCTGAATCTTTACACCCATTGCTATGTGATGTTCCTTCCTCTTCTCTTTTAGGCACAAATTCCACCTTAAGACACTCTAACCTAAAGACCATCTTATAAAATTCACCACCAGCAGCAAATCTCATATAAAAGGAAAAGGTAAAGCAATTAAAAGAAGTTCATTAATACCTACAAAAAACAAAGCCAGGAAGAAAAATATGTAGCTTCTACAGTCCTTTATTCTGCAACAGGAAATGAGACCAGAGATGGTGTTTATTACTTCCTTATTCATTGTTCTCTTTGCCCTCAGAAATCTTCCCAGCCAGTAGGGTGACACAAACCTTCAATCTTGAAGGATTTGAGCCCCAAACAGTCCTTCCTTGTTGAACAGCTATAGATTTCCATTAACATGTAACATTGAACAGGGAATTACTAGAAGCAACTTTGGAGGAACTCCTGGGTCGAAGACATGCTTGTCCCTGACCCTGTTGTGTGGCTGCATCACTGTTTTCCCTTATCGATCCCCCCAGCCAGTTCAGTAACCCCCTTATTTCCTTGCTGGCTGATGGCAATATCGAGATAGAGTTTCAAATTCCTATTCAAAGAATTATGTGTCCCCTAGTGGAAACACAGCCCAATGTCATAGGAACAGGAAGCACTATTTTGCAAGTGCATAACTAGGTTTATTTTTTTATTTTATTTTTTTAAAGATTTTATTTATTTATTTGAAAGAAAGAGAGCATGCGGGCAGGTGCACAAGCTGGGGGAAGAGGGAGAGAGAGAAGCAGGCTCCCCGCTGAGCAGGGAGCCCGATGCGGGGCTCGATCCCAGGACCCTGAGATCATGACCTGAGCCGAAGGCAGATGCCCAACGACTGAGCCACCCAGGTGCCCCTAACTAGGTTTAAGTGTGGGACACAACCCTCTCACTTTTACTGTTCCTGAGTTCATGTGTCCTGGCCATGGAAAAAAAACAGCAATTTGGTTTAGAACATAACTGCCCATGAAGGGCAACACACCCAGCTTGCTAAGTGCTGTCTCCTACTTGGGGCTGTACCTGGGTCTTCCTTACTCCACCCTACTGTCCAATATGGCCAGCTGCTTGGGGTAATGAGGTTCAGAATAACGTCATTGAATCCTATGGCAGTCACTTCTTTTTCTGTAAAATGGGTTTCTTAGTGAGGGATATGATGATGGTGAGCAAGGTATTCAGAATGTCCAACAATGATGATGCTGGCAAACGCACTGCAGGAAGGAAAAGCAAATCCATATCTGCAATAAAGGTTTACCCCCCAGAGGGCAAATCCCTGCCCACAAGGTCCTGGCATTAACCTGTCTGCCACAAAGTGGCTGGCTGGTCTCCCTTGGGGTATGGTCCTCTCCACTGGGGCGCAGAGTTGGTCCCTGATGTGAGATATTGGGTGCTCAGCAGCCAGATCAGCCTTGATGAGAATTTCATGTTGATGAACTCACACATATCATATGTTCCTACCGCCATAGTCTCCTCATTCCTTGAACAAGCGCCCGGGGTGGCTGGGGAAAAGACTGACTGACATCTACAGAAGTCTTCCTGCCCACCTGCTTCTCAAAAGCCTCCTCAGGAAGAGGATGCCTTTGATGAACATTCACAATATGCTCATACTCTGTGTCTAACTGGTTCACCCACATCGTTTTCCTCAGGCCACCTTATCACCAATCCTCTGATCTTGTTCCTTCCAAATCTCTGACTATCCAGCTAACCTGCTAGACACTGGTTCTATCCAAGCCACTAGCTTTCTCTCTTTCCACGTGACAACTAAAGGTACTGCTCAAAGTTGTGTCCACGGGAAGGATTTCCTTTCTCCCACTATCCTTCAGGGCCAACTCCCAGAGGGGCTGTTGTAGAACATCAGTCCACTTCTTTTTTTTTTTTTTAAGACTTTATTTATTTATTTGACAGAGAGAGAGACAGCGAGAGAGGGAACACAAGCAGGGGGAGTGGGAGAGGGAGAAGCAGGCTTCCCGCAGAGCAGGGAGCCCGATGCGGGACTCGATCCCAGGACCCTGGGATCATGACCTGAGCCGAAGGCAGCCGCTCAACCAACTGAGCCACCCAGGCGCCCAGACCTCAGTTTTCTCATCTGTTAAATAGGTATAGTAATGGCACCTACTTGTCAGTATTCGTTTTAAGTCCTCAGCACTCCTCAATCACCGTGTCTGTTTCTTATAAATAGAGGACTACTTAGTGGGGCTTTGGTAGGAAAACTCCACGAGGTCCCACAGGGAGCAGGTAGGTGGCTCTCCTCATTGCTGGACTGGCGGGTGCTTACAGCGGCGCTGACAAGGACCTGTTGAATGAACGGATGGGGTAGAAACTGACCGAAGGAAGGCTAGGTCCCCAGGGCTCTACCTCCCCCGGCCTCGCAAAGGTGAGGAAGCAGCAGAGTGAAAAGGGCACGGAGTACTTTGGTGTTTACGGGCCTGACCTTGAGTTGAATCCTGGCTCTGCCACTTAGCAGCAGGACTCTGGGCGGGTTAATTTACTGTTTTTTTGATCATGAAATGGAGCGGATAATATCCACCTTGGTCGACCGCCGGTGCTGGGGGACCT